AACTTGACTCTTCATAGACATTAGGGATCTATAAGGGTCAGAGAAAACTTGGGTGTATTAAGAAAGAACAGACAGGAAAGATCGGTGGGTCTCAAGAGGAATGAATGAGCAGTACAAGTATCACAAAATCCAAATAAACCAGGAAATGGAGAAGACAATGTGACTTTTTTCTCCTCTATTTTCTCACCACATACTCACCCTTCCTCCTGAACGGGAGGTGGAGCAGGCCCCCAGAGAGCCAAGGATGATGGGCCGGGGCCAGGGCCAGGGCCAGGGTGTTAGCATTTTTCCTAGTGAGTCCCACTGACAACTACCATGCCATTTCTAAGAGAGTGCTTCCAGTAAACACACGTGCATGTGTTTCGAGGTCTGCTGTTTCAATCTAATAAAAACTAAAAACCTCTACCCAGAAAAATGGATAAGAACACACGATGATGCATATGAGCATTCAGAGATCTCACAATTGTCCTGATACAAATCCCAGGGTCTCACGTTAGAAACCCCAAATCCAGCATAGTTCTATGAATACAGATTGTAGTGAAGGAAAAAAATCTGTGCTGCAGGTGTGTCCCACCTCAGCTGGTATCTTTACCTGTAGGCAGGCCTCTGAGAATCTCTTGTACACTTTCCTCGACTGCATGTAACTCAGAAGAGAGAGGAATCATTCCTTGTGTCTATTCCGTGCACTCGCCCACTCACACTGTTGCTGCTGGAATAAAGACCTGTTATTGTGTACTTGAGGACTCTATCCAGGTGATTCATTCCTTTGCATCACCTCCTCAGAAGACCCCACGTGAAATCTTATGTATGTAGAAATCACCTCTCCAGAGTTCCACCTTTTCGGATACTCGGGAGACCTCTTGATCTTCCTTCCCTCTCTCCTTTTCTGGGAGGAGCTGGGCCACTAAACCAATGTCCCCAGGTCTCTCAGGTGTTTCCCCAAGGATGGATGAAGAAAAGTGTAAACTCAGTTGCTGCAGTGGTGTGGGGATGTTGGGGCTTGGTTATTTGACCCCAGATATTCAGCATCAAGATTTAGAAAATCCTTGTATGTCCTTCCCCTAGTTTACCTCAAAGGTAAAGGAGATAGCAGTACTTCTCAGGAGTCAAAAATGTCTTTGATGGTCCTAGAGTTTTTGAATTCCTTTTGCATTTTTATCTTTCCCCTTTTGGGGGGGGGGGATAAGTACTGAAACACAGTAACCACAGTGTATCTTTTAATAAACATGTCTGGAGACATCCAACTTTTCATCTTAAAGTTGGATTATTTTTAGAATNTTGTAACAACTCTGCTGCCAGTACACACACATGAATGCACACATGCACACATGCACACATGCACACATGTTCATGAAAGCACCCCATCATGCTCCATTTGAGAACATAACTTGACTCTTCATAGACGTTAGGGATCTATAAGGGTCAGAGAAAACTTGGGTGTATGAAGAAAGAACAGACAGGAAAGATCAGTGGGTCTCAAGAGGAATGAATGAGCAGTACAAGTATCACAAAATCCAAATAAACCAGGAAATAGACAAGACAATGTGACTTTTTTCTCCTCTATTTTCTCACCACATACTCACCCTTCCTCCTGAGCGGGAGGTGGAGCAGGCCCCCATAGAGCCAAGGATGATGGGCCGGGACCAGGGCCAGGGCCAGGGTGTTCGCATTTTCCCTAGTGAGTCCCACTGAAAAGTGCCATGCCATTTCTAAGAGAGTGCTTCCAGTAAACACACGTGCATGTGTTTCAAGGTCTGCTGTTTCAATCTAATAAAAACTGAAAACCTCTATCCAGAAAAATGGATAAGAACACACGATGACACATATGAGCATTCAGAGATCTCACAATTGTCCTGATACAAAACCCAGGGTCTCAGATTAGAAACCCCAAATCCAGCATAGTTCTATGAATACAGATTGTAGTGAAGGAAAAAAATCTGTGCTGCAGGTGTGTCCCACCTCAGCTGGTATCTTTACCTGTAGGCAGGCCTCTGAGAATCTCTTGTACGCTTTCCTCAACTGCATGTAACTCAGAAGAGAGAGGAATCATTCCTTGTGTCTATTCCTGGCACTCGCCCACTCACACTGTTGCTGCTGGAATAAAGACCTGTTATTGTGTACTTGAGGACTCTATCCAGGTGATTCATTCCTTTGCATCACTTCCTCAGAAGACCCCATGTGAAATCTTATGTATGTAGAAATCACCTCTCCAGAGTTCCACCTTTTCGGATACTCGGGAGACCTCTTGATCTTCCTTCCCTCTCTCCTTTCCTGGGAGGAGCTGGGCCACTAAACCAATGTCCCCAGGTCTCTCAGGTGTTTCCCCAAGGATGGATGAAGAAAAGTGTAAACTCAGTTGCTGCACTGGTGTGGGGATGTTGGGGCTTGGTTATTTGACCCCAGATATTCAGCATCAAGATTTAGAAAATCCTTGTATGTCCTTCCCCTAGTTTACCTCAAAGGTAAAGGAAATAGCAGTACTTCTCAGGAGTCAAAAATGTCTTTGATGGTCCTAGAGTTTTTGAATTCCTTTTGCATTTTTATCTTTCCCGTTTTGGGGGGGGGGGATAAGTACTGATACACTGTAACCACAGTATATCTTTAAAACACATGTGTGGAGACATCCAACTTTTCATCTTAAAGTTGGATTATTTTTAGAATATTGACTATTTTGCACCAGGTTCACAATGAGGAACATGGTCTTTTTATTCAAAGAGTCTAAAAATCCAGTGGGTACTAGAAATTAAATATTTACCGTATATTTTCATAGCACTATCATTACAGCATAGATGGCAGTGAGTTAAGGGGGAACACATAGAAAATATCTCTGGGATCAGGGAAACTTTCCCAGAGGAAATAAATACCACTTAATCTGAGAACTGAAAAATGAGATTGGTAAGAATATGGTAGTTGTGAGCAGGGTAGGGCTTAGCTACAGACAAATAAAAAGTTGCACAAGTCATGGGGCCAGAGAAAATATGCCAAATTCAAACAAAAGCAATTCTATTATAGCTAGAACAACAAAACATGTTGGGAACATTTGACACAAAGCAGGTTCTAACCATGAGATTCTTACAAATCATGCGAGGAGCTTTAACTTTACCCTAAGAACAATGAGTATGAAGGAAGGTTCAAGATCAGATAACCATCACTGTAAGTTTACTTTCCCTAAAGTATGTGGAACACATTGGAAAGGGGAAGAGTGTGCAAGGAGAGTGGAGGATATATTTGCAATAATCCAGGCAACAAGTAGCGTTGGTGTGGGGGTGATGAGGTGTCTCCAGTAAGGTTGGATAGAAGTAGATGGAAGGGAGATTCTATGATTAGAAAGAAGAGAACTTGGTGATTGATTAAGGTGGTACATAAGGGAAAGAGAATAGGGAAAGATGATTTTACCTGAGTGGAGAGCAGCTCCATTTGCTAAGATGAGGATCACAGGAAGAGAGTGATTTTACAATATTAATTAATCAGCATTTATGTGCTGATTGGTTCTCTTGCACTAATCATTGTTTTACATACCGAACTTGAAAAGGCGGAGGAGAATCAGTTCCATATGGGACATTCTGTGTCTGTAAACATCAGGCAGAAATGTCCCCTCGTTAGTTATATGTGTGTTAGGGGAAAATTTCAGGTCCTGCTGGCTAGGCCCAGGTTCTTGGTATCTCAAACAAAGAACTGGACGAGACAAGCCAGAAATACAAAGTAAAAGCATTTTTATTTAGTAAAGGAAGAAAGAAGAGTACATTCTGGAGAAAATGGAGCAGGCTTGAGCGAGAGAGGAGAGTGCTCAAGAGCCCCTATGGTTACATTCCTGGGGTTTGAAGTCCTCTTAGCTGGATTCATGCCATTTGGTCATTGGTTGAGCCCTCAGTGTAATCTCTGTCATACAGGTTAAAGAGATTGGTGGGAACTCATTGGTCTAACTGAATGGCAGCCACGGTAGGAGGGCTCCCTGCCTGGAATTGTCTTTGTCTCCTGTGGTTGCTTCTGCTCATGTGCATGCCTGCTCAGGGAACCACCGGATTGTTCTATTTGCAAATGAACAGTTTTTCCTTTGCCCGCTCTTGTTTCTATCTAGCTTCCTGCCTCATGTCTGCCTTCAGTTTAGGGAACAAGAACAAGCAGGAGTGAAGACTTGAAAATGATCTATAAACACATTAGATTAGATTAGATTAGATTAGAGGCTTTACATCAAGTTACTAGAATTAATCTTTAAGAGCATATGCTCTGCAGCCAGTCTTCCTGGGTGTGAAACTGTCAGGCTGGATCACAGATCCCTCTGCCCTGTCCTGTGCAGGTCATGAGTCAGGCAGTTGAAAAAAGATTTTGTTGGCCACTAATGGAATAGACATGCTTTATCCCTATGCAAGCTCTGCCAACCAGGAGTTCAGGGTGGCTGACTTTTATTCTGAAAGTACACAACAATGGCAAGGAGCCCAGGAGTATAAGGGCATGCATACGAGGTTCAAGAGATTACATAATTCTTTGAAAAAAAAAAAAGAAAACCTGGCCTTCAGTGGCCAAATATATAGATTCTCATAAGTTATATAAATATCTGTGGAAGAATTTGTGAAGGTTGGAGATTGTATTTCATATAATAAACCAAACTTTACCATATTTCACCCAAACCAACATGTAATTTTTATCCTTATGACTCTGTTCCAATCTCCCAACATTCTACTGGCAAAGAAATATATGTTGGTTACATTAGAGACACACCTATACACAACTAAGCTTTTGTTATCACAAGAATTTAGTGGCAAGGTTAGGGAGAGACTCAGTAGATAGGAATGCCAAAACAAACAAACAAACAAAATGCACAAACCAGACTAGGCCAAAGTTCTGAGCTTAAAGAGAAACTTTACGGCAATTTGAAGCTCTACTTCGACAGCTATTTTGCCAAGATAGCTAAGCACAGGTGGTAGATATGAGACTTCTTTATTCCGTCGACAATAAACAGAGTTTATACATTCTGTGTCAGAGACTATAATAATAGGGGATCAGATTCCCACTCTACGGGTAGTAAAAAGGTGAAGGATGCCATTCTGGATCTGCTTGGTCTTGATGCTGTATATTATAGGGTTCATTAATGGAGGGAACAGAAAACAGACATAACTCATAATGAGGTGGACGATATGTGGAACCTGCTTCCCAAACTGATGAATCATAGAAAATCCAATCACTGTGACATATGAAACCAGGACACAGCAGATATGGGAGACACAGGTGTTGAGGGCCTTAGCCCTCTCCTCTCTNGTGCATGCCTGCTCAGGGAACCACCGGATTGTTCTATTTGCAAATGAACAGTTTTTCCTTTACCCGCTCTTGTTTCTATCTAGCTTCCTTCCTCATGTCTGCCTTCAGTTTAGGGAACAAGAACACGCAGGAGTGAAGACTTGAAAATGATCTATAAACACATTAGATTAGATTAGATTAGATTAGATTAGATTAGATTAGATTAGATTAGATTAGATTAGATTAGAGGCTTTACATCAAATTACTAGAATTAATCTTTAAGAGCATATGCTCTGCAGCCAGTCTTCCTGGGTGTGAAACTGTCAGGCTGGATCACAGATCCCTCTGCCCTGTCCTGTGCAGGTCATGAGTCAGGCAGTTGAAAAAAGATTTTGTTGGCCACTAATGGAATAGACATGCTTTATCCCTATGCAAGCTCTGCCAACCAGGAGTTCAGGGTGGCTGACTTTTATTCTGAAAGTACACAACAATGGCAAGGAGCCCAGGAGTATAAGGGCATGCATACGAGGTTACGCCCCTCATATACCTTGTTTACAATGGATGTGCTGAGTCATACCCAGCCAGATGTGACGCAGTGGGCCTTACTACACTGACTGCGTTTTCCTCACATGAAACCTAATTCTATTTCTTACAGGTTCTGTGTCTTTACACACTCAACACTTTTACCTTCTTCATCTGTAAAATGGGGATGATAAAAATTGTTGAAAATATTGTTCCAAGGATTAAATAAATATTTCTAAGAATTAGGGTAAAATTATAAGAGTTAATATATGTAAGTGTTAGCACAGAGCCTGAAAAATATTAAGAACTCAATAAAGTACAATTTTGCTTTGTTTTGTTATGTTTTCTCAGAAGAGTATAGAAGAGTAAATTTCAGCATGCATTTAAAATGAACAAAGAATCATAGGATATTGACATGAGTTTCTAAAGAACTGAATGATAAAATCCATCTAGGATATAAAGGCAAATGAGGACAAGAAGGAATCAGAAATAAAAGTGTCAATATTCTGGAGGTCTGGTGGTGTAGGAGAAAGCTGTATTGGGAGTAACAGAGAGAGAAAGCTGGAAGGAGTACAACCATTTTCAAAGGCTATTTATAACATACCATAATATTCCTTTTAGCTGTATTTTTCATCATTAAATAATATATTTAATATTTTCCACCTGGCAGAATGCTCCCCCCACCCTCCCCAATCCAATGAGTATTTACAGGTCAAAATTTTCAGATATTTCTGTTTACCAATGTTAATGACAGTATAATTAATAGAGCTTGTGAGTGCTGATAGCAATTTATACTCTCTTAAATCCGCAGAGAAACACCTTTTTGAAGTGCATTTTGTTATTCTANGGTTTATCCAGAAGAAACGTCTTTTTTTCTCTGTTAGTACCACAGAAGTGCAGTTCTACTTTCACGGTATCATTCCAACTATATCATTTCAGAATGTTTTCTTAAAGGAAATTATAACGTCAGTGTAAGCCGTTGTTTCTTAAAATGTATTCATAGGACAACGTGTACTGTTTGTATTTTTAATTGCAGATTCCAAGGATCATCTCCCACTCACTTACTCAAATTTTTGGAGTTTCAGCTGTTCCTATGAATTTTAGCAAGTGTTCCAGGAAATATTTTACGCACACTGCCACTTAAAACCATTTCCATCAACTCTGCAGATTTAACAGAATACATACTCTGNTTCTGTATCTGCTTGGTTTTAATACTATAGATTATTGGATTCATAAATGGGGGGAAAAGAAGTTAAATATAACTCATGATAATATGAACTACATGTGGCACATATTTTCCAAATCGATGTATGAGGGTTAGCCCAGTCACAGTGACATAAAAACCAGAACACAGCTAATGTGGGAAGCACAAGTATTTAGGGCCTTCGCCCACTCCTTACCTGAGGCAATTCCCATGACAGTCTTAAGAATTAGGATGTAAGAAACAAGGATAAGCACAGAGTCCAAGAAACCAGTTAATGAGACCAGGGCTATGGGATAGAGTCTATTGAAGGTGATGTCAGCACAGGCCAGTTTGATGACATCCTGGTGCAGGCAGAAGGCATGGGAGAGGATGTGGGATCTGCAGTAGGGAAATCCAGAAAGGGTGATGATTATGGGTATTATAAGCAAAAATCCCCTCATTAGAACCCCCAGACCTATCTTTATCACCTTCATGTTGGTCAGAATGGAGGTGTATCTCAGGGGATTACGGATAGCAATAAAACGGTCATAGGCCATGATGAGCAAGACTCCAGACTCCACGATAGAGAACGAGTGGATTAGATAAGACTGGAAGAAGCAGGAACTCTGGCTTATCTTCCTGTGATCCAGCCACAGAACACCAAGCACAGTGGGCATCGTGGTCAAAGTCATTCCCAGGTCTGTGGCTGCCAGTATAGCCAGAAAGTAGTACATGGGCTCATGAAGGGTTCGGTCCTCCCTGATGAGGAAGAGGAGAGTGCTATTGCCAAGGAGTATGGAGACATAGATGACAAAGAAAGAGGTGGAAATGCAGGGATGAAATGTCTCCAGACCCGGGAAGCCAGTCAGTAGAAAAGGGGCAGCACTCATGTTGGAGCACATAGTGGATCCCTGCGAAGAAACGAAAATAGCTCTGTCTAGACCAGCACTTTCCAGTGGAAATGCAAGGGTACTTCAAAAAGTACATGGAAAAGTGGAATTAAAGGATAATGTGAATCTTTGTATAAACTTTTTGAATCTTGAACCATTAAAGTAATTTTAGATTTTCTACCAATCACATTAAAAGTAGTAAAAAAGAAAGAGGCAAAATCAATTTTAATAATATATTTCATTTAATCCACTATATCCAAAATATTATTATTTATAAATGTAATCAACATCAAGATCATGAATGAGATATTTTACATTATTTTTTTGAACCAATTCTTCAAAATCCAATATGTAATTTA